AGAAGGTCAGCGCGCTAATCCTATTGCAAACTAAAGTTACGTTATTTAATACCGTTTGCAGTCCTGTTTATAGGTGTAAATTATGCTTTCTTTTGCAAAAAAACTTATTTCACCGTCTATAAGTTGCATATTGTATATTTTATATGTTTATGTATTGCATATTTTATACCTTTAAACACTTTGTCTTTTTTCCAATGTGCAACTATCAAGCAGCAATAGCGAGGGTTTTGTAAAGTATGGTGCTCATTTGTTTTTTGTAGTTCTTCGTGAGCAACAATAATCCTCATTATATTGTTGCAGATTATAAAATCATTATAAAATCTTTTGTGTACTCCGTTAGCTTGCGATCTCAATTAATGTTAAAATAGAACTTACAAACATTTATAACATTTTAAAATTTGTTTTCAAGTATACTGTTATTCACTTATTGCTATTATTCAATATATCTTCAATATTTCTGTTAGCCTTAAGCAACTTTTATTCAACTCTTCTAGGTGACAACCAGCGCTGCAATCCTTGTATATTTTCAAAATATCTTAAGCCTCAAATAATTTATAAAATGAAATAAAACTTAAGTTTTCTGAATTAGTGATAAAGTAGTAGTACTTCATGTAATCATGTAAATTATTTTGTAAATGGATAGCAATATTTTTTTAGTTTATTTTGTAAATGCTGTATTATAGTTTTAACCTAAAGTTTTTTTGTAATTTGACATAATACCGGCTTTTTACAAACAGGCAACGTTGCAGCTATTTATCTAATTACTAAAGTTTTGGTATGCCACTGTTTGCTACCTTAACGCTACATATCATAGTTAGTAGGGTGGCACGGCATTTTTGTTATTTAAATTTTTTATAGCGTTACAATTTTTTAAAATACTATACAGGTAGATGCACCCCAAAAACCAAGGCACCTCAAAAACAACGCGGTCAGTTAAAAGGCTCTAAAAATTTAAATATGCATTTTAAAACCATATGAGAAATTTTTTCTCATAAAGGAATGTTTCAGCAACAATTAAAACAAAAGAAATCAATATTAACAATAAAGGAGTTTTTTTTACAACCGTTTTAAACTTAAAAAGTGCTGAGAAAAATAATTGAGTTTTAAGTAATATTGCTATAAAATATTGGTTTTTTAGACTAAGTTTGCAAATCCCATCTAGTTTGCTTATCTTTTATATGCTATTTACATAAATCAAACCATTTTTATTATAAGTAGAAGGGAAACTTGTAAAAAAAAGTTTAAAAATTACATTTTAACATGTGGTTTTTGGGGTGCGCTAAGAAAAAGTTAAAAAAAAAAAGTTTATCCAGAACAAGTCTTTACAACAAATTTAAAACAAATAGTTCATTCAATAAAAAAGATTTTGAATATCACAGTTATTTCTTTCTAGCAGCTGCAGATAAAATCATTTCTGGGTTTTTTCCATTTACTTTGCAGTTTGCTTTGCTGCAAATGGACCGCATTATATTGAGGCAGGTTGGACACTGCTTTAAGCCAAAAGATTTACATTTTATCTCCTCGCAATAGCATTGAAGCTTACATGTTATAAAGAGTCTTGTAACTTCCTCTTTCTTTTTTGCAGCATTTTCTTTTTTTTCCTTTTCTTTTTCTTTTTTTCTTTTTATGCTTTCAACTAGAGTTATTACATCGCTTGCAGTCATTGATCCATGTACTTGGGTAACACGTGTTGCATCTTTTGTTAATTTTGGCTTTATCTTTTTGGTTGTCATAAAACCAGGTATTTCTTCCAGCTGAATGCTCTTTTCATGAAGTTCATCAATCAACTCCATCGCTTGTTCAAATTTTGATTTCCAATAATTTGCTGAACCACGTGTTTTTGTGGTTCAATACAGTTTTCTGCTCGTTCGAATTTGTCTTTTTGCATAAAATCAACACTCAATGCATTTTCGGCAACACCAACCCTTTTAGCAGATTTTACAAGCGTTTCTTTGGTTGTCCACTTGTCCCATATATTAGCTAAAACTAACATAAAAGCTTCTTTGTTTAAGGAACAGATATCAGAAAACATAGAGTCTTTTTGCTTACGATACTCACTATGAATGTTCTTGTTTACTTGGTCAAGAAGTTGAGTAACTCCTGTTGTGTCTGGTGGAGTAAGAAAAAGATGAATTCTTTTGGACTCCAAAAAAGATAATACATCAAAGTCTAGTCTAGAGCTATGTCCATCTGATAATAAGACGATGGGTCGCTTAACATTTTTTTCATTTAAGTAGACATCAAACTCTTTCAATGCTGCCAAGAAAGATTCATGGGTTGATACTCCATTATCTGTAGTTGTGACCAACAAATGGGGAATTTTATTTACTGCTTCTGTTGGAACCATAGAACTAGTAATACCAGTACATTTAAATATTACCTGACACATACATATGTCGCCTAAAAATAAAAAATAAAAAAGATTTTTAATGCTTGTATTTATTTATATTCAATTTTTTCTTGAACCATAACATATTATAGCATACCTGAAAATGAAACAAATGGTTGAATTGTGACACATTCTCTGTTTTCTCTATACATTCTTTGACATGCATCTCCTTTGCCAGCATAAAATAATCCAGAAGTGGTACCATCAATTCCATAATTAATAAACTGGGGTGTTTCATCACAATTAAATATTCGGCATGTATCAACAGTGCCATTCCAAACCCCTGTTTCAATCATTTTTTCATTTATCATAATACCAACATCTACTAGTTCTTTAGCAAGGGAATCTGAAATAATGTTATTATAGGGAAATGAACAAATTAAAAAAAAAAGTACATTCAGATTTATGAATTTATATTTGTTCATTAATAACTTACCTAAATGATTACATGCCATTTCTCTTGAACAATTAAGTGCACGGTTTATCGAGACACTCCCTTGGCGTTTGATTGTAAGGCTGCTATCTTTAGCATTAAAACGAAGCCAAAATGATCGACTCAATCTATAAAATGGAATATTTACATAAAGAAAAGAGTCATATTACCCGTCTTACATACTTTTATAGGATCATTGTAGATTAAATGAATTCAATTAAACTTACTTTCCCTTTTCTAGAGCAGCTCGAGCATTTAATGATAACTTTTGAAACTTCCGTCCACCTTTCATTTTTGTATTAGTGTAATCTCTCACACGAAGCACATTAATAATTAATTTGGTTATGTCCTGTTTGTTAATTGCCTGTAAACATCTGTTCTTATTTTTTATAAAACGCACAATAGATGCTTCTTCATCATCTGTAAGTATAGTACAATAATCTCTTTCTTTTCCATTAATCACTTTTCCATCAAATCGCCTGTTGATTGTCTCTCTATCTTTAATAAGGGGAAACAAACCTGTCTTTAATGCTGCTTGTCCCCTTCCATTAAATTTTTTGCACCAATTTATTGCAGCTTCTAACTGTTTATTTTTATCATTTGTGTGTTTTCTGGCCACTATGGCATCAGCTTTAGTACTGAGATTTCTTGATTTGTTTATACGTAGATGTAATGCAGATGATGGTTTCATTTTACTTTATAATATTATATTAAACAAAATTCTAAAACAACAAAAAACATAACATAGTTCAATGGTAGTATTTCCACAATACATTAACTTTTTTTTTTTTTTTTTTATGATGACAAAGAGCTACTATCTTAGAGTACATCCTAAAATTTTTTTATTGAATTATTTTATATATTTTCTAAAATATTCAAATAACCAACGTGGTTTTTGGGGTGCACATGATGTGGTTTTTGTGGTACATTGAAGTACATCCTAAAAATTTAAGTTAGCAATGATACAATCATCCTAAGACTAATTTATTATAACTATCTTCTACAAAAAATCAGGTCTTAATTCCAAATAGTTTAGATTTTATAGCCAATTTTGTCAATGTTGTTTTTGGGGTGCATGAAAAAAAGTGTGGTTAACTTCAACATTCTAGAAAAAGAACTCAAGCGAGACTTAAAAAACCATACCTACCAGGAAGAACCCTATTTAGGCTTATCTTTCAGAACCCATATTAACAAAATTATGATCTGTCCCTAGAAAATAAATCTAGACCCTCCTACTTTCGCGTGGCTTTTGGGGTGCAACCACCTGTAATTACAACTAAATTTTGATGATGGAATTACGGTTGTCAAAAATATCAGAATTATTATCAAGTTCTGTTTCTAACAGTTTCGCAGTAAATGTTTTCTATTGGGATATAATAAAGGATTAATAACTCTGACCTGATGAGAAAGAACACTGTCTGTAAAATATCCATCTTACTGGAGTTTTTTAGCTAATTAAACCAAAAAACAAAACTTTTTTTTTATTATAATATTAAACTTATTAATAAATACAACTTAAAAATTTTTAAATTTTTTGTTGGGTTTTGTATGGTTTGCATCAGAACATTAGGTAATGTGCAAGATGAATATTTTGCAGATACTTGTTCTTTCTTATCTAGGCAGTAAGGACTTATGCAGTAAAATCAAATTTTTTATTCAGACTACTCATTAAGATGTGTTTCTGATATACACAAAACTACAAGATTTTTTAAAATAATGATAAATTCCTTGATGTTCTTTTACACTTTAAAGCTGTATTCTGGTTTTTTCTGGGATTTAAAAACTTTTTTTAAGGGAAAGTTGATTTAATGAGTTAGCATCTCTAAAAAATAAACAATATTTAAAGTACTAATAAACGCCTTTCCTAAACCCAACACCTAAGTAAAAAAAGGTTGACTTTTTATGTTACAATTCTTAAAACTATAATGCAATTTTGTAAATTTATAATGTATACTTTTTTAATCCACAATAATTTTTCATCGCTGAAGTTTGAAATTTTATTTAATGTTCACTGTTAATTTATTTCTTAATTTTCTTTGTTTTGTTATAAATATTATTTTATTAATAATTAAACAAACAAACAAAAAAAGATGTTGAGTTGTTATTACATAATTTTACAAAATATGTTATTTAATACATTTATAAAAAAAAAAATTTTTAAACTGATTTCTAATTTAGTTTCATCAAGTGGCCTCTGTCAGCAACAAGCTCAAAGTGCTTTTCAACTTTTATCCCTGGGAAATGCCTATTCAAAAGAAGAATGTTTTAACCACTGTTGTAAAAGAAAAGAATGCCAAATATCAATATTAATCCGAAGAAGATGTTTTGGAATCAATTGCTCTAACAAAAATTTATGTAAAGTTATTACTGAGCAACTTTTTAATTTCAAAGGCCACAGAGTAGATAAAAGATCTGACGGTCAAAATGAATTTAATGATATTAATGACATGAATCAATATAATTTGACCTCTAATTTTAAAAAAGGTATTTTATTCTATTTTCGCATTCAATTTTTTTTTTTTTTAAATAATATTTAATTTTTGTTGATTTACTTGTAATCGAAATGCAATATAATTATATTAGGCTTTGAAATAAAACTTTTTACATTTTATAGTATAAAATGTAAAGTACATATACTATAAGTTGCATGTGAATCCGTTTGGTCTACAATAAATATATACTCTCAGTTACATTTAAATCCATTTGTTCTACAATGAGCAAATTTTAAAAATATAAATATAAGTATAAATACAAAGATAATAATTTTCTTTGTAGAGTTTACTCATGCTACTGATGAAAAATTTAACAATGTTTACAATAATGATGAGCACAACACTACTAATGTTACTATCTTTGATGAAAAATTGATCCCATTAATTCAGCAAAAAGTATCTACTTCTCTTCCAACTTCTTTTCCTATTAAAAGAGTGAAAAGAAATTATATTGATGAAGTTGAAGATAATAATGGTGTAATGACAAATGCAACAAATGTCGAAGAGAGGATCAGTTATAATGATGACAATGATAAAGCAATGATTACAAATGCAACTGATGTTCGTGAAAAAAGATTTTCTGCAGATGATAGCAATAGCGATGAAAATGACAATGAAAATGATTTGAATAGGTATGTTGAAACTTCTGGTAATAATGCAGGTGAATCAGAAATAGTGGGGGATAATGGAATTGAACTGCAATGTGCTAAATCAGAATTTAAACATTCAACAATCCCAAAGCGCAAAAAGAGCTATTTGTTTAAACAGCTTCATGGAGAAGTTACTAAACTATCTGATTGCAGCAAGAAGTGCTGCAAGACAGATGAATGTGTTCTTGCGTTTACGATAGAAACTTTTTGCTATGCAGTTATTTGCTCTGATGATTCCAACTTTTGTCATTCTAATAGAGACAAACTGCCAAGTTTAAAAATTCTTCTTGCAGTTTTATCTCCAAAAAAAG